ACTGCAACCTCCACCTCCCAGGTTCAAGTGATTCTCCTGCCTCAGCCTCTGGAGTAGCTGGGATTACAGGCACCCACCATCACGCCCGGCTAACTTTTGTGTTTTTAGTAGAGATGGAGTTTCACCTTGTTGGCCAGGCTGGTCTCGAACTCCTGATCTCAGGTGATCCACCCACCTTTGCCTCCCAAAGTGCTAGAATTACAGGCATGAGCCACCATGCCCAGCCTGTTTTTTCATTTTTAAGACACAGTCTGGTCAGGCATGGTGGCTCACGCCTGTAATCCCAGCACTTTGGGAGGCTGAGGCGGGTGGATCACAAGGTCAGGAGATTGAGACCATTCTGGCTAACATGGTGAAACCCTGTCTCTACTAAAAATACAAAAAATTAGCCAGATGTGGTGGCATGCACCTGTGGTCCCAGCTACTCGGGAGGCTGAGGCAAGAGAATCGCTTCAACCCGAGAGGTGGAGGCTGCAGTGAGCCGAGATCGCACCATTGCACTCCAGCCTGGGTGACAAGAGTGAAACTTCATCTCAAAAAAAATAAATAAATAAAAGACACAAAGACACGGTCTGGCTCTGTCACCCAGGCTGGAGTGCAGTGGCATGATCATGGCTCACTGTGCTCAAGTGATCCCACCTCAGCCTCCTCAGTAGCTGGGACTACAGGCATGTGCCACCATGCCTAGCTAATTGTGTGTGTGTGTGTGTGTGTGTGTGTGTGTGTGTGTGCGTAGAGATGGAGTTTTGCCATATTGCCCAGGCTAGTCTCAAACTCCTGAGCTCAAGCAACCTTGGCCTCCCAAAGTGCTACGATTACAGGTATGAGCCATGGTGCCCAGCCTCTTGCAGACTTTCAAAAGCCAATTCAGAATTACCGAATTAATCCACTTAATATAAAGTCATGATCAATTCACCTAACACGTTATTAAATCAATATGAATTCATTACCTTTCAAACAGTGGGTTTGCAATGTACCTTCTGGTTGCATCCTAATGTATTTACATTATTGGCTGGGTTCTGTCTGCTCATGTGCCTTTCAGGGGGAGGTTTCTCCCTGGCATCCATGACTTTGTGGCCTTGTGAGATCCAGGTTGACAGCTGAGCCAGAGGTGGATCACAGACAGCCTGGCAAGCTTTACCCTCCACTGACTCAGTTAAAGGTCATTTGGCTCAGCAAGACTGTGCCCTCCCGGCTGAGTAGAATCTCATCTCAGCCCTGAAACTGACCTCCATCTATACCTTCAGCTTCTCCAAACGCAGGAGGCGAGGTGGTGGGAAATCAGGAAGCCAGTGGGAATCCCAGGCTCTGTCTGGCTTCTGAGCTCTTTCCTCCTGGCCTGCTCCTCCCACTGCTCACCCGAGGTTCCCAGTGAAGCCTCCTCCCCTTTGATGTGCAGATCCATCTTCCGATCCTTTCTTGGAGGCTGGCAGTACATCAGAACTGCGTGTTCCTTTTTTTATTTAAAACTTGGCCTCCCGACACTTCACATTTCTAATGACCAATCGCGGAGCAGCAGAAAGAAAATCAGCACTACTGAACACTGCTCTCCCTTCAAAATGTTCGCCAAAAGGTCGGATTCTGCCTCTGATTAGCTGCGTTTCATAGAAGACTGAACAGCGATTGTCTGGAGGGAACAGGTCTGCTCAGGGACTATTTATTCATGAAGATATGCAGACACAAGCTTTAGCATTAGATCCCATGAAAGGGCTCTCTCACTACAGCCTCCTTGCAGCTCAGTCCTTAGCAAACCCGGGAACTGAATTCATGATCCGCTTAACTGAGTAGGGGGAGTGGAAGTCCACCTCTATTAGTACCCCACCGTATGCCATGCAGTAGGCTGCATACTTTACATTCAGGTTGTTTGACTCGTTAACAACTCAGAGGTTACCATCACCCCATTATACAGACAAGAAAACTGAGGTTCCTGGAGTAGGTTATCTGCCCTAGTCATTCAGTGCCAAGACTCAGACCCATGTCTGCCCATCTCAAAACCAGAGCTCCTTCCATTTCCACTCCCCGCAGAGCCCCGTGGCCCTCACGTCAGTCAGGACCTGGGCATCCAAGGACCACTTACTGTATGTGCTTTCCTTTATGGCAAATTCCTTGAGTGGGGCCCCAAATTCACAGGGCAGGCGGAGGGAGAGGACTTTCTTCTGCATTTTTGTAGACTTATGAACCAGGAAGATCTAGTGGAGAGAAAAGAAATACAAGCTTTAGGAAACATCCAGAATGGTGGAACCCAAGCATCTGATTTTCCTCACACCTGATGAATAGCAACCCTAAACTGCCTGGCTCCGTGCAGGAATCTCTCCCGTCATAGAAAGGGGTGCTCAGAGCCCAGGCTGCAGACACCTTTGTTGATTACTGGCTTGAAAAGAATCCTGCTTTCCCTCTGACAGAAGCTTCTCCATGGGGCTAAGAACTCCCCTGGTCTGCATAAGCATTTTCAGTTTGGTGACTGTTTTACTGCTGGAGTTACACTTTGCAGCTTCTGTCTTGTATGATGAGTCTAATATGAGTTACAGTCTCCAGACCCTGTCTTACATATCTTGTTGATAAGACCTAAATTCTAAACACAGGTAACATGGCTAAACCATAGGTGGTGAATTGGGAGTTCATTGGTTAATTCGGTTTATGAGGATATTTACAATAGAAATTTAAGTTTGTTTGCCAACAGTGAAAAAGCAGACATTGCTTTGTTTTTTTGTTTTCAAATTGCAATCTGAATTTCTAGCTCCTCTTGGAAAATGAGGTGATACAGCAAGACCAGGCAACAATCTAGTGGAGCTGAAGATGGCTGTTCCATTTGTTTGGGGGTGGATGCACTCTGAAGTTCACCCCAGTGAACATGGAGGCTGTTCATTTATTCCTGACTCAGTTCACATTCCACCAGTTCCCTCAAGATGCTAATGGTGTCTTTAGACAAGTGCTTAAAACAGTCCAATTCCTAGTGCTGATCTGAGGACACCATTCTGGCCCTCATCAGTGCAGAGGTAAGTATGCTGTGTACTGTTATGCAGGCCGTGCACTGCACAACTCCAGGAGGCACCATTCACCTAGCCTACAAATGAAGGGACTTTCTCTGGAGTGTGGCATGTGGCAGCCCAGCTGAGTCCTGGTTCTCTTCTGTGGTGCATGACCCTTCTCCAAGGATCTTGTTCTGTCTGTCATGTTTCTTTAGCTGCTTCTCTTTCCTCTGCACTTAAGCACCTTACTCTCTACCTCTCCCTACATTTCTACACCCTCTCATTTTGTTCCTACCTAATCTTTGCTCCTCTCTTTATGTCCAGTTAATAGCTCCTAAGATACCTTATTTGGGGGATGGGAAGATGGGTATGGGAATTGGGTGTCTGGTGAAGAATGAAACGGGAGACCTTTGAGATCTCTTTTCTCCTGGCACCACGGGGATGCGTCCATAGGATTCATCCAGCAGCAGGTTCTGGGAGTCGGTGTCTCTGGGACACCCTAAAGCTGAAGCACATGCTTCCTAAATAGCGTCCCGATGGGTAAGAGGCCAAAGCACTGCGGAGAGGCAGCTGTTGGTGGTTAGGAGAGGAAGTATCCCTCCCTGCTGCAGGTGGAGAGCTCCCTGGGACTTGGGGTTGAGCAGTACAACCACTAGGCCTTATTTTTTGGAGGACTGCAGCCTTACATTACATCAGGGGTTGGCAAAGTCTGGCCTGCAGACCAAATCCATCCCGCCATCTGTTCCTGAGTTGGACTGAAACGCAGCCATGCTCTGTCCTTTACACATTGTCTACGGCTGCTTTTGCATGACTATGGCATAGTGGAGTAGTTGTGACAGAGACTGTGTGGCCTGCAAAGGCAAAAATATTTACACTTTGCCCCTTTACAGAAAGAGTTGGTGGACCCCTATCTTAGACTGTAGAATCATTACGGAGACGCACCCCAAAAGCCCACTTCACTCACGCCACCGTGCCAGTCTCTCCAGTCCTCATCCTTCACACACTTTCAGCCACTTTCTTTTCTCTCTCTTCATTATTTTATTTTATTTTATTTTATTTTATTTTTGAGACAGAGTCTGGCTCTGTCGCCCAGGCTGAAGTGCAATGGTGCGGTCTCAGCTCACTGCAACCTCCACCTCCTGGGTTCAAGTGATTCTCCTGCCTCAGCCTCCAGAGTAGGTGGGGTTACAGGTGCATGCCACCACGCCTGGCTAATTTTTGTATTTTTAGTGGAGATGGGGTTTTGCCATGTTGGCCAGCTCGCTCTCAAACTCCTGACCTCAAGTGATCTGCTCACCGCGACCTCCCACAGTGCTGGGATTACAGGCCTGATCAACCACGCCTGGCCTCTCCCTTCCTCATGCTTGCCTGTCCTGGTCCACGTTACTCCTGTCCTGGCCCTGCCCTCAACCTGCCCAATCTCATCAGGCAGGTCCTGTGCGGGGATCAGGCAGGCGGATGGAGAGGACATGCCTGGCTTGTTTCTCAGGCAGGTCTCAGCAGGAGTGGACGTGCCCTACCCTGGGACGGGGAGCTGGGCAGGCCATTGCCTAGCTCTGCAGCAACTTCTGTCTTCAGAATTTTTTGCAGAAATGCAAGAGCAGACAATTCAACTGGCTGAAAGTGAGTCTTCACAGAAGGTGGGGAAATCCTGGTCCTATGGAGCAAAACTAGAGGCAGCAGCTCTGTGTTTTGGCCAAGGGATTCTCTGCAAAGATGGGAAAGCACCGTGCCACGTCCCCCTGAACATGTTCTAGCAGAGGTCTTAGTTCTGCCTGTTTCTGCCTGATTAGGAATAAAAAAAAAAGATTCACATGTTTTTTAACTCTGACTGCTAGGAAACTCAAAAATGTATTTGGTGCGCAATTCTTATGACATTACTCAGCCAGCTACAAAGAGGATTTTCTCCTTGCTTCTCCATCCTCTTGTTAGTCTCTATCTTGTGTTGTGTGTTAAGTCTTATTTTATCTGTGACTTACTGTATTTATCCTTTGGAAGCAGACACTGTACACATATGCTCTCTTTGTCGCCCAGGCTGGAGTGCAGTGTCACAATCTCTGCTCACTGCAACCTCCACTTCCTGTGTTCAAGTGATTCTCCTGCCTCAGCCTCCCGAGTAGCTGGGATTACAGGCGTGTGCCACCATACTGGGCTAATTTCTGTAATTTTAGTAGAGACGGGGTTTCACTGTGTTGCTCAGGCTGGTCTTGAACTCCTGGCCTCAAGTAATCCACCCGCTTTGGCCTCCTAAAGTGCTGGGATTACAGGCGTGAGCCACCACGCTTTTCTGAGGACCTTCCGCAAGTTGTGGAGTGGTGTGGATGGGACGGACAGTGGTCTTGGATGGACAGTAGCTGAGAAAACCAAATTAGACTTTGGTCCATGTGGAAGGCCCAGAGAAAAGAGGACTACAGAGCAGGCAAGTCTGCGGACACAGAACTTTTGAAGGCTGGGTCCCAGGTTGGATGGCTGGACCCTGGCCTTGCTCCCAGGCTCAGAAGGAGAAGAAGGCAGCAGAGGCCACCAAGGAGCCCAGACCCAGGCTCCTCCTCAGAGTTCAGGCTCAAGAGGTCAGACCCAAGCTTCTGGCCAGTGGCCCCTACTCAGATGCCCAGTTACTCTGCTGGGTCCTTGTGCCTCCTATGGTAATTGAGCAGATAGACAGAAAGACACATCATGAAGGGCTCTGTTCCTGGGCTCTGTTTCCAGAATTGCTCTGCATTGCAAACCAGTTACACATCAGGAAACGTGCTCCCTACAAGCTGGGAAGAACTTTCTGGAATTAACTTCAAGTGTTTTCTTTCGGCCGATGGCAGTCCTGCCTGCCTCGACCTGCTTCCCATGGCTCTGAGTCTTACCCCAGGAGGCTGGGCCTGCAGGACCTCTGCTGCCTCCTCCTCACTCAGACTCAGCTGCAGCCATATGGGGTGAGTGTGGAGGAGCCGGTCCAAGATGCTGAGCCTGTTGGAGAGGCTGTCATAGCCTGAGTCCCGGGTACAGGCCTTCACGTCCTCTTCCTCAGAATAGCCATCATCCTTGTGTCTTACCATGCTAGGAGAAAGAGAAGCGGCAGGGTCAGCTGGCGGCGGTACCATTTCCGTAACAAGGAGACCGTTCCCACAGGCTCATAGGCCAGAGTTGCCGCCCACATATCCCATCTTGTGATCGCCTCCTTAATGATCTTCTTTTCCAGATTGAAAGCTTTCTGAGGGCAGACACAATGTTTTATTTTACCCTATATCTCTAATAATAAAAAGAACACTTTTCCCTGGACAGACCTGACTTTCTATTCCTAACCCCATTTTCAAAAGGTTCTAAGCATCCTAAATGCCATTTATTCAGGCTTTGTCTTCCGACATAAAACGTTTTTCTTTTTTTTTTGAGATGGAGTCTTGCTTTGTTGCCCAGGCTGGAGTGCAGTGGCGCGATCTCGGCTCACTGCAACCTCCATCTCCTGGGTTCAAGGGCTTCTCCTGCCTCCTGAGTAGCTGGGATTACAGGTGCCTACCACAATGCCCAGATAGCTTTGTATTTTTAATAGAGACGGACTTTGACCATGTTGGCCAGGTTGTTCTTAAACTCCTGACCTCAGGTGATCTGCCCACTTTGGCCTCCCAAAGTGCTGGGATTACAGGCGTGAGCCACAGCACCTGGCCAGCATAAAGCATTTCTAACTTTGAGGACAGAACCTTAAATGCGAAATAGCATGGATGGTAACCATGAGTTCCTAATGCTCAGTAGCATTTCTCACAAGCACAAGCATGCCCAGCCTAAAGGCAAATGCACTCACACACATTTATTTTGTACCTGAATGATTGGATTGTATTTCTTCTCACGAATCTAAGCCTTTTTATTACTGACATTATTTATAATAAAACTTCACAGTGGAGTGATGCTGCGCTATTTGTAAAATCATGTCGACATTATTCATAACAGCTAAGAAGTGGAAACACCCAAATGTCTGTCAGTTGATGAGTGGATAAAGAAAATGTGGCGGAGATGGTGGCTCATGCCTGTAATCACAGCCCTTTGGGAGGCTGAGGCAAGCAGATCGCTTGAGCCCAGGAGTTTGAGGCCAGGCTGCACAACACGGTGAAATCCTGTTTCTACTAAAAATAAAAAAGTCAGCCGGGAGTGGTCATGTGCGCCTGTAGTCCCAGCTACTCGGGAGGCTGAGGTGAGAGGATCACTTGAGCCTGGGGAGGTTAAGGCTGCAGGGAATCATGATCCCACCACTGTACTCCGGCCTGGGCGACAGGCGTGAGACCCTGTCTCAAAAACAGAAGAAAAACAAAGTAATCTATCCTTCCAATGGAATATTATTCAGGCATAGACAGGAATGAAGCACTGATGCAGGCCACAACATGCATAAACTTCAAAAGCATTATGTTCAGTGTCAGGAGCCAGACACATAAGGTCACATGCTGAATAACTCTATTTACATGAAATCCCCAGAAGAGGCAAATCCATAGAGACACAAAGTAGATTGGTGGGTGCCGGAGAATGGGGGAGATAAATGAGGATGGGGAGTGATGGCAAACAGTACCAGGTTTCTTTCTGGGGCGATCGAAAACTTCCGGTTTTATAGTGATGATAATTGCACAATTTGCGAATGTACTAAAAACCCATGAAAGTATCGATACACGTTAAAAGGGTGAATTTTGTGGTATGTGAATTATATCTTACAGACCAGATCATATTGACATCCTTTTGGTTCCAATACTGGTTCTGTCAGGGAGTGTTTAATCCTCCGTTTACCAATGAGCAGACTGAGGCCTAAGAAGTGACTGAGCTGTCCTGGGTTACAATAGCCTTGAAGCAGCAGAGCTAGAAATCACACCTACTCTGCTATGTATCCAACATTGTGGGTACCAAGTCAGGTCAGGGACTCAAGTCAGTTTGTATGCATGTAGTGGCTGTTGTGTGCCAAGCCCTTTGCCCACATTCTCTCATTTGCTCCCCTCGACAGCCCTGAACCACAGGCACCATGACGCCAGTTTTACAGAGGACCAGGAGAGGCTCGGCTCAGGTCAGGATCTTACTCAAGGTCAAGCCACTGGTCAGAGGGAAGGGCTGACATTCCCATCCAAGGCAGCGTTGCTCTGGGGTCTCTCACCCTTTACCAAACTCAGAACTGACACTTTCCCTGGCTCTCAAGGAGCAGGTCATCAAGCCTTGTCCTGGGGCAGCCAAGGGACACCAGACCTGACCATTTGTGTCCAAACAAGCAGGTTTAGCTTGAGGTCCATATGGTCTTCAAACCTCTAAACTCAAAGGAACTCAACTATATGACCTAGAGAATGTCTCTAGCACTGAGAAGGATGGATAATGCAACTGAATGTAAGATGAGAGTTACGGAAAGGAAATTAAAGAAAGGAAGTATGATATTTCCACATGGACAACTCTACTCCTAAGAAGTGGGACTGAATTTAGAAGAAGCCAACCTATGCTGATCATTTTTGGGTATTGAAGACTCAATAATAATACCCAGTGTTAGCACGTGGACTGGGCAGAGACCACATTCTAACTTCTCCCCTCACCTTCGTGACTTTCTGCACGTCTAAGGACTGTCACTCATTCGTTCAATGTTCATCTTTGTATTTCTTCTCAAATATGTGAAAGCTGTCCTCAACTTCTGCTACAAGTTTCCAGGTAGGAGACTGTGCCAAAAGAATAGTTTCTCCTTCTGCAAATGCCAGAAGGCCCTGCAGGTATTGTGAAGTGAATATCTGCAGTTAACAAAACATACTTTTCAAAGTGAAGCTGGTGTTAAAATTCCTTTGATAGAAGGTAAAAGAGCCAGCTTTAGACAAGTGATTCTCAGCCCTGGCTGCTGATAAAAATCACCTAAAAAAGCCAGGCGCCATGGTTAATGCCTGTAATCCCAGCACTTTGGGAGGCCAAGGCAGGCAGATTACCTGAGACCAGGAGTTCGAGACCAGCCTGGCCAACATGGTGAAACCCTGTCTCTACCAAAATACAGAAAGTAGCCAGGTGTGGTGGCAGGCACCTGTAGTCCCAGCTACTTGAGAGGCTGGGGTGGGAGACTCACTTGAACTTGGGAGGCGAAGGTTGCAGTGAGTGGAGATCGTGCCACTGCACTCCAGCCTGGGCCACAGAGCAAGACCCTGTCTCAAAGCCAAAAA